TTCGCTGCTGGCGATGACAATGACGATGACGATGCCGATGACGATGACGATGGTGAGTGCAATGATGACGATGAGGATGACGACAACGATGAAGATGCAGATGATGATGCCGATGACGAAGAAGAGCACGATGACGATGACGATGACGACGACGGCGACGACCATGAAGATGACGATGACGATGAAGATGACGATGAAGATGACGATGACGATGACAGTGACGATGACGATGATGATGATGACGATGATGATGATGATGATGATGATGATGCTGATGACGATGCTGATGCTGATGCTGATGCTGATGCTGATGATGATGATGATGATGATGATGATGATGATGATGATGATGGTGATGGTGATGGTGATGGTGATGGTGATGATGATGCTGCTGATGATGATGCGATGATGATGATGATGATGATGATGATGATGATGATGATGATGATGATGATGATGATGATGATGATGATGATGATGATGGGATGGAACAAAGAGGAGGAGAGAGGAGGAGGAGGGAGAGGAGGAGGAGGAGGGAGGAGGAGGAGGAGGAGGAGGGGGGGGGGGGAGGAGGAGCAGGAGGAGGAGGAGGAGGAGCAGCTGCGTTAACCATCGACCCTATTGCACGCAGCGTGAGCGTGAGGAGAAGAAGGAGGGAGCAGGAGGAGGAGGAGGAGGAGGAGGAGGAGGAGGAGGACAGGAACGACGACAAGGGAGCGTGGAGGGAAGATGTAGGAAGAGAGGGAAGGACCAGGAGGAGGTCGAGGGAGGCAGTGGGAGAACGAGGAGGAGGAGGGAGCAGGAGGAGGAGGAGGAGGAGGAGGAGGAGGAGGATGATGAGGAGGAGGAGGAGGAGGAGGAGGAGGAGGAGGAGGAGGAGAGGGAGGAGGGGGAGGAGGTCGGGGGAGGAAGAGGAGGAGTAGGAGAGGAGGTGAGAGGAGGTACATGAGTAAGAGTAGCGCGAGAAAGGAACACATAAGCAGGGAACGGGCAGGAGGAGCGGGGTTTCGAGAGGTCATGCGACAGGCCATCAGCCAAGGTACTAGCTTGGACCACATGCTCCGTGAGTGCAGGGATGCGCGCGTGCCTGGACTGATGAAGGCACGGACGGAGCGGGCCGCTGGAGCCCACCGTGGGTGCATTTTGGCTCACGTTCTGCGCGCCAGACATTACTTCCATTACGTGCGAAGCGCCCCTGCTCTCCGACTGCCGTGTTCTTGGGTCGGGCGGGCCTTCCGTGCGTCGGCGCGGGATGGAGCGGATGCACGACGGTGCGGGATGGAGCGTCGATCGTCTGGAGCAGAGAGTCGAGGAGATGATCGAGTACCGCATGAGTGGGATCGAGCACCACATGGTCCGTCTTCTGGAGCAGAGAGTAGACGTCGCGATCCATGGGCTGGAGCAGAGGATGGAGCAGAGAACAAACGCTGCGATCCAGGAAGGTTCGATCCGACGGCTGCAGGAAAGAACAAACGCTGTAATGGAAGCATTCCAATGGGCGGTGACCAATTTAGAGGGAAGTCAGAAAGATGCCGAGAGGCGTCTTACAGAATTGGAGCAGCAGAGCGTCGTGCTGCCACAGCCGGGCGACATCGCCATGCCGCCACAGTCCGACGGAGCCGCCGTGGACTTACCGCAGCTCCTCGCGGACACCGTCGAGAGGATCAAGTGCCTTTCGATCAGGGTCGCTATAACTGAGAACGACATCGACACCCTCAAGGCCATGGAGCCCATTCCAGGCCCGCCCGGCCCCCAAGGCATCCAGGGAATCGAGGGCCCGCATGGCAGGGAGGGCCCCGTGGGGCCCCCGGGCGAGGCGGGGCCCCCTGGCGCCAGGGGCCCCTGCGGGCCACGGGGCCCCCCCGGGCCAGAGGGCCCCCCTGGCGCCCGGGGCGAGCGCGGAGAGAAGGGCGCAGATGGCCAGCGGGGCCCGACCGGAGAGCGCGGCGTGCAGGGCCACCCAGGGCCACAAGGGCTGCAGGGCGAGAAGGGGGAGCGCGGCGCCAGGGGCGACCCGGGGCCCAGGGGCCCGGAGGGCAGCGCCGGCCCTCAGGGCGAGCAGGGGCCGCGCGGGCCGGAGGGGCCCGTGGGCCCCGAGGGCCCCGGAGGCGACCCTGGGCCCCCTGGGCCCGCCGGGCCCGCGGGCTTGCAGGGGCCGCGGGGCGAGGCCGGCGCCGCGGGCAGCCCCGGGCCGTGCGGGCCGCAGGGCCCGCCCGGCAGGACCGGGGCGGCGGGCACGGAGGCCCCCTCAGCTGCTGCCTCGCCTCTTACCCTTCCCGCTCCTACTTTCACACTCTCCTTCCTCCCCGCCCGTGCTTCTCCTCGCCCTCGTCGTGGTCCTCCTCCTCCTCCTCCTCCTCCTCCTCCTCCTCCGTTTTGCTCCTCCTCCTCCTCCTCCTCCTCCTCCTCCTCCTCCTTCCCGCCCGTCCTTCCCGTCGTCGTCGTCGCCGCCGCCCTCCTCCACAGGGGCCAGTCGCGTTCTCGACGACGATGGTGGGCCCCGCCGGGCCGACGGGCGCGCCCGGTGCGCGGGGGCCGCAGGCCGGGGCAGCCAGAACCACAGGGGCAGTGAGATCCGCCTGGAATCCTGACCTTCCTGGGGCTGGAGAAGGGATGAAACCGAGGAGGACGAGGAGGAGGAGGAAGAGGAGGAGGAGGAGGAGGAGGAGGAGGAGGAGGAGGAGGAAGAGGAACAAAGGAGCAACAAAGGAGGAGCAAAGGAGGGGCAGGAGGAGGAGGAGGAGGAGGAGGAGGAGAAGGATGCAGAGGAGCAAAGGAGGAGCAGGAACAGGAGGAGGAGGAGAAGGAGGATGAGGAGGAAGAGAGGGAGGAGGCGTTCTGGTAAAAGGGCCCAGGTTACTGTGCAACCGCTGGCCTTTGGCTCACGTCCTCGTTACCGCGTCACGAAACCTTGAGAGGACCCTTGTTTGTCTTCTTGGGCAACAAAATGCCCTATCCTTACGACCACACTTCGACAAACTGTAGCATGGTAGCAAAACAAGGTTAATGCAGCGAAACCAGGAGTCGGGATACCTACCACGGGAAAGGATGGATCGAACACTGCCTCACCATCTTCGGGCTTGCCTGCCCAACGGCTAACAAGCAAGGCGCTTATGGGTTCATCAAAGTCGCCCTATAAGCTAACTGCGACGCAATGACAAGTTACTTGCACGGAACAGAACCCACGCACATGTAGCCAACAGCTGTCCAATTATCCGGCGATGTCATTAATGAAAATGTCTGGCACATCCAACGCAGCAGTGCTGAGCATAATCATCCGCGAGAACAGACACGATGCAGACACGGCTGTTGTGAAGTCGCGAGTGGTTGAGATGGAACACCCGAAAAACACATGCTCACGAACGTAATGCTCGCACGCATCGCCGACTAGGTAGGTCGAACCGAAACAGTATGCATCCAAGGCCCACAAGCGTGTCCAAAGCCATCCAGCCTCTAGATAGCTCCAGTGGGGACTGGACGAAATTCCGTGCTTGGACCGAGGGACTCCTTAATGTTCGGGCGCAGGTCAACATTGGTAACCGCAAGGCGATGGCGACATTGAGTTCGAATGGGCGGAGCGGTACCATTTCCAAGCGAGGAAGGCGATACTATGACAATGCTAAGCGGACGAATTACGGCGGCGGGCTACAGCATGGTCGCCTTGAAGAACAGTGAGAAAAAACACCAACGGGAAGAGGAACATAATATGGTGCACGAGGACGAGGTCAGTAAAGTAGATGAAAACTTTTGGTGCGTAGTGGTGCGTATTCATTGAGACACGGGGGGGGCATCGAGACGCGAGGTAAATCTAATCGGCCAAGGGACGGTGAAGGATTGATCGCCTACATGAAGACATATTCGCGGTGCTTTGCGGTAGCGGCAGTAGTTTTATCGGCCGAGACGAGTTCAGCCATGAACCCCGCGAGGCCCAATCAGGTAAGTGATGCTTCGGTTCTGTGCAACAGTGGAGCGCGCTAGTGGTCAACGTGGAAGCAGAGGGGAAATCTTATGAGCTGCCTCGTCCCTACAGGATAATTGTGCTGAGCATCATACAGCATCATCATGCCGCACGCAGGAGGGTTTATTAACGATTGGCAGCGCGACTGCTTGAAGACGCCTGGTTCACTAATTTCGGAATCAGTTCCGAAGATGTGCTTCAGATGCGAGGATTGGGCGCGCAAGAGTCGACCACATGGTAACACCAACAGCAGCGATGCCCTAGACATCGGGGACGCCACTAACAAGGAGAAGCGAGATGACTCAGGCATTTGCACGGGAAGATCACAAGATGAGCACGACGACAAGGTTAACTTGTGACCTGCAGGGGATGACGGAAATATTTGGCGGAAGGAAGACCAATGCTGGGGATGCGCAGATGTGGACGCAGTCAATCAAGGAAAAATCAAAGGCACATGATTTGCTACAAGCGTGACAGAAGGGGCCACCATCGCCGAATAGTGCAAGGACAAGGGCGCTGGCAATAACAGTGGCAAGGGCAAGTGCACAGGCACGAGCAAGCGGGCCGAAATGGCACAGCATATATTATATACAGAGGGCATGAGGGATCTGGCAAACCAGCAAACCAGATGGGCGGCGAGCAGAACGGCAGAGGATACGCGCTCATGAACGACCGAGAACATTACAGATGTGGCTTGAAAAGACAGATTGCTGCTCACTGCGCCAAGTGCGCAAAACACGCAGGGAAGGCAAGCAATGATCAAAACTGACACAACCGCCGACAGCCACAGCGAGAAATCTCCCCGAGTTGCTACGAGGCAACCTTGGACCACCCGGACAGATTTGAAAGCCCGCGGGGGGGCCCGACTAGGGCGAGGAGGAACGCGGCGCGTGATGTGAAACGCTCATGGCGAAGTGCCAGGCATATGGCCACTGCCGGGCGCCCGGATGCGAAGTGAGAGCGGTCGAATTGGGCAACCGACGGCGCCGACCAAATGAGGAAGGCCGCGCCAGGCGCGGCCCCGAGTCAAACGTAGAAGTGGCGGCAGCGACCGCGGGCTCGAGAGCCTGCGGCGCCGCTGGGCCGCCCGGCGCCGGCCATCCACTTCCAAGTCGGGCGCGCGGGAGCTTCCGGGGGCGGGCGACGCTGCAGCTCGGCTGGCGACGCAGAAGTGCAGCACCATGGACAGCGAGTAAATTCGGGGTAACATGAATCGAGAGACGGAGTCGCGATGTCCGTGCGAGTCGCCGACGCAGTGTTGGAACCGGTGTTAAGTCGGGTCTGTCCCTCTACAGGGGGGGTGTTCAAAATTAGTCGACGCATGGTCAGGGGGCGATGTTCGTTTTTATCTTGTATGTTTCATGATTATTTGTTTCTGACATGCGTTGGACTACTGTTAATTTTCCGTCGAGAGTCGGCCTGCAGCGGGACAGGCCCGCCTCGAAACCAGCGCGAGACGCGGCTGCAGGCGGGGGCCGCGATCCACGGGCGCAGCGGGGCATTTCACTTCGCCATCAGGGCCCCGAAAGTCACCGGCAAAAGGCCGGCCCAGCAGGCGAGCGAGGAAGATGGCAAGAAGGATTGTCCGAGCAGGGGCTCCTCCAGGAGAGCCTCGCCCCTTTGGCCCAGTGAGTCCCAGTGATCAAACCAGGAAGTTCGCGATGAACGGGAAGAAGGCAGAGACCGCCGCGCGGGCGCTAGTGCGATTGAAACCGTCGCTGGCGAGGTGCATGACGCGGCTGCAACTGATGGGGGCCGAAGCAGCGACGAGAGTGACGCGGGGCTCTCGCCCCGGCAACGCAGAAGTGGAAGCGCGCGGCGTCGGCCACTCACCGCGCCGCAACTGCCGCCCCCGCTGCGCGCGAGGTGGGGGGAAGTGGGAGGCTCGCGAGATGAGACAGGACCGATCTTGATGGAATGCCCGCGATCGCCGCTGATTTCGCGCGGCCCAAGAACAAATGCTCGCGGAACAAATAACACCCAGAGAGAGCACAGTGGGGGAACGGAAGCAGGCCGCCCAAGTTTGGTCACACCGCGCAGCAAACGGCTAATCTGGAGCAGCGATCGCATCGGGGATAGAGCGGGCAGCTACCCAACCAAGGCGATGGGATATGTGATATCGTTCGCAGGTCACCGCGACGACGTGCTCAAGAGCGACGGCGAGTCTTCCGAAACGGCGCTAAAAGAGGCAGCGCGGTCGTCATTGGCGATGTCGGCGGAATTTGGAATATGTCCTGCAGGTGGCACTGCTGCTAACGGAGAAGTAGAGCAGTCAGAACCGCCCGAGGGCGCGCGAGAACATTCAATAGCGCGCGGGGGGGGGTATGATATTGAGCTCGCAGAGGATCGCCGCCCAACGCTGGTGATGGTCTCATCCGCCCCATCACTGGTTGACGCAAGTTCACCAGTGGGGATGGCGGGAGAACCGCTCGCGAACGCTGTCGGAGACGAATTTACGGCGCCGTTGCCGGGATTCTTCGAGCGTGCGCGATGTATCTCAAGGTCGGAACCAAAGGTCGACTTAAGCTGGAGCCCAGTGGGAGCCCAGAGTTTCTCTAATCGCATATGATGAGAGTCAAGGACTCACCATTGGCACTAAATAGGGCGCCACGACATTCCCGGATCATCGACGACAGGGCAGCGAGGAGGAGAGGGGTCGATTTGATGAGATGAACCCGGCAGAGGGGTCGCCGCGGCAACCAGGCCAGAACATTATGAGCAACGGGGCGCAGCCATTGGCAATTGCCCGCGCGCCGTCGCCTCCAGCGAAGTCGGAAAGAGGAAATGCCAGGCCGCGGGCGGTGGGAGGAGCGGCGGTTCAAAATGCCGCGCTCATCAAAATTGGCGCCGCCCAAGGGCGCCGCGCACGTCGGGCGAGCCAGACGCGAGCTCCACGATGCGGGATGCATGGCCAGAGTTATGCCCTAATCAGAGCTTGCCTCTGTAGGGGTCCTAGCGGATTCATGCGGTTAGGCTAGCTGCGTCGCCGATTGTGTGCGGCGGCGCGCCCCGGTGCCAGGGCGCCCGGGAGCTGCTTCGCCGATTTCGGCGGCCCGCCCGGGCCCGGGTACTTGGGTGCCCCGTGGCCCTATAGCCTTAGCCCAATTGCCCAGCCCTATAGCCCACTACCCCCCCCTATAGCCTTAAAGTCCTATAGCCCTAGCCCTATGGCCCTTGAGCCTCAGAGCCCTACCGCCCTATAGCCCAATAGCCTTACAGCCCTGTAGCCCTATAGCCCTCTTACCCTATAGCCCTATAACCCTATTGCCTAATAGCCCCATAACACTATAGCCCTATAGTACTAAACCCTACAGCCCAATAGCTATAGCCCAATAGCCCCATAGCGATACAGCCCAATAGCCCTATAGTACTATAGCCAATCGCTCTGTAGCCCTATGGCCCTATAGCCCATGCCCCTATAGCCATGCAGCCTCATAGCCCGATGGCCCCGTGGCCCTATAGCCCACTAGCCTCGCAGCCCTATAGCCCTCGTGCCCTGTAGCCCTATAGCCCAAGAGCCCTATAGCACTCTAGCCCTATAGCCCTTTAGTACTATAGCCCTACAGCCCTATAGCCCATGGCC